TTGTATACAGTCAAAACCTCCTTAAAAATTGTAATACAAAGATGAAAAAAAATTAGTTGAAAATTTATCAAAGACTCTGCTATTAGAATTAAGAATATAAGATCAGAGATTCTGAGATATCGTGTTTATCCAATAAAATTCTATATTATATATGTGTATACATATGCGTATATAAATGTGTGCATACACAACACATCTTATATATAGATACGGTGTGTATGGTTCGCGAGCTTCAGATCAAAAGGTTACCTATCTTGTCTATTTTTTTGCTTTTTTATACTCTTTTTGTTGAATCGTTGAATGCATACTTCCTGCAACGCGACATCAGACGCTCATACATTTTTTATATTGCCCACCGAGTTGTTTCCTTGGACCACCAGAGGAAGTAAGATCTACATGCGAAGGCAGCGTTTCTTCTAACCGGCGGGCGTTGAATAGCGATTCTAAAACGGTCACTGAATGCCTGAATGAGAACTCGTTATCGAAGCCGGAGGCTGTTCGTGAGAATGTCGCACGCCCATAGTGGATACTTCACGAAAGTGTTAGAATGTCTGGCATTCGCATTTAATCCACATAGATGTGAATTTTAAACAGGAAATTTCGGCGAAAACCTAACAGGTTGTTGTTCTTGATCAATTAATAGTGACTGTGTCATAATTTCTTGCACTTGTACATCCATGTTTTTCCTCACGTAGATCAATCTACGTGAAAAATTAATGGATTTTGGAAAGACATTGCGGAAAAGAGCTATTTAAAGTGTAATAGTAGGGGAAGGAAATGAAGTATAAAAGTTTGTACTGAATATTCCTTAGAAAAGCCACTATAGAACTCAGGTGTCTGATTTCCCACTTAACTTTAGAAGGCTAAAAGCGCATTACTAGCTTGAGCTTTAAACGTTTGAGCATTAGTAGTCTGAGCTTTAAATGCGAGACAATTCATTATTCGTTCATCAATGTAATCTTTTATTAAGCATCGCTAATATTAATTTAACGAGTTTGACGATGAACGCTATTACTTCGCGTTCGGTCTTGTTTGAATCAGCTTAAATCCGGACGTAAAACTCTAAGGAATGGGCGCAAGGCCTTCATATCGTGGATTCTTATCCCAGTTAAATATTCCAAAGTGTATACAAAACGCCAACGTCCTACGGTCGGTACGAGTATTTTGTTAACTGTGTCAGTAATTAATACGGTTTACAGTCACGGCAAGCTGCGACAATGAGGTACAGAATAATTTGACCTACGTGACCAGTCCTGGTTTTCCCAACCTCATCGACCGACCTATGAACTGCTCAGTGCTTGTACGGAAGATCGATACGGAGGTCAGCCAGTTGAGGATCGACTTCGTCCATTTCAACATTGTAAGTCTCAGGAATGTCTTATTATTATAGTGTTATCTACTAGGAATAGGCTAGTTGCAACTGTCAATTCCCCGGAGTGCTGTTTAGTACATCTAATATTCCACGAGTTGTCGAGATAATGTCGACACTAATACGTGCGAAGAATGCATAATTTTTTTTTCAAACACAACTACGCCAACATTACTTTCTAGATATTGTTCGATATTAACAGCATTTGTGAAAATCTTCATCTATGCCGTTTTTCACCCAGAATGTTTAAAATTAGAACATAAGGCATCTTTAAAACATCATATATCCTAATTTTGAACATTATGCTACCTGGGTAGATATTACAGTTTAATTTGATTATGAATAAATTTGGAGAAAAAAATGAGTAAACGAGGAAAAAGGAAGAAGGGAGAGAAAGGAGGAAAAGGCAAAATATATAAGAATAAAGTAATTATGAAGAAAAATTGCGTGTTAGTTCTTATCTTACACAATTTCAGATGGCAAGTTGATGTTATTTATCGTCATTTTTGATGACAGTAGACATTATTTTTACATAAATGGCGACAAATGACATCAGCATATTTGAATATGTCGCATTTAACATAAATAAAACACACACACGTAATTCGTTTGAGTTAGCGATGTGTATATATGGAGTAATCGCAAAACCAGAAAAAGTATATGGAAAGAAAATTAAATTAAAGAATAGTTTTTTTTGTCAAAGCATCTAAAAATTTAGCTAGATAATACAGATCTAAAATATGATTTTGTTACACTATCAAAATTATGTGCGCTCAAGAGAGTTGCTAGAATGTCAAAACTTTTTGCAACATTGTTTATTATGAGAGTCCTATATAATTATTTTGCAAAATAATAAAAGAAATAGACTCACTATAGATTAAATCTATCATTGTGTGTCTATCGCTCAAACCATCAGTATCTCTGTGAGAAGTCTCGTTTTTCTATTTGTTATTCGAAAAATTTAATAACAATGTGGTTGCTTATGTACAACTTGTTTGACTTCATCAATCGACAATTTGATGATCAAGTTTCGACTAGTTTACGACATCCAATAGATTGACTCGTGTTAGAGCATTCTCTTTTTAATGCATTTTTTTTTTCGAATAATTTGCAATTTTAATTTTATCTGCGTTTTCAAGTTTATTGTATTGAAGAAGATCCGAATCGAGAAGGTTGAAACGTATATTCTAATAACACTTTTCTAATAAATAGTTTTGTTAATTTACACTCGAACATTCTGTGTTGGCGCACATCGGCATTATTTGTCGTGATATATTTTTTTTATTTTTTTATTTAATTATTTCGATATGATGAATTTTTCACAAAATTATTTTCAGATTTGAGTTTAGTTAAATTTTTAGATACTTGAGACAAATCGTTCTTTTCGTGTATGTAATATATGTAGAAGTAAAATCTGTTTTAGGGTCAGCCAAACGCCTTGACTGGCGTGTGCGACGGAGATGTCATGGTAATTAATAGTAACAAGACATCTTTCGAATTATGCGGATGGAACAGCGGGCAACACGGTGAGTACTGCTTGTACAATTTCTTACACAATCTTTATAATTCCAGCTTTTGTATAGCACCGCGATAATCCAATAGTGTTAAAATTCGATTTCTCTGGACGCTCTGGACATCACGCGCACGTGTACGTTTTTCGTGCAATTTAAATAGCACAGACTGCTTTATATCTCGACACAGTGTACGTGGACGTGGGCGAAGGCAACGAACCAATCACTTTAAACTTCCGGCTGCCAAGCGGACTGCAATCACGAATGTGGGAGATGCGGGTGGTGCAGCTGGGTTTCGAGCAACGTGCACCGGTCGGATGTCTCCAATACTTTCGCTCGCCCAACGGCACACTAAGGACATTTAATTATCTCCCGAACGGCAGATATCTCGCCGAACGCGATTACCTATTATGCGTACGTCAGGAAAGGGACATGTGCGGTATCTCTTATCAACCTTGCACGCCAGACTCTTTTCGGATAGGTCCTAATAGATCTCAAGATATGTCCAATACGACCAATAACACAATTCCCGCAATGATCGGTGCAAACAGCGGAAATGCCTCTACAGCTGTCAATCCAAACGTCACTTCTGTAAACGGTTCCGGTATGGACATTGTCGAGGGATCGGGAGCAGGATTATCTGAACAGGAAATGGCTTTTATCTCCAACATGAATTCGGTACCTTTCTTCGGAAGACGGTGCAGAGATAGGATACTTATTCCTTGCGATTTCGAGGAATTTATTACAGTACGTTATGTTTAATAAATATTTCCTTTATTATACTCAAATAGCACGTATGTCCAAAATTGGGGCATTTTATGTTCCGATTTTTAAATATGTGCTGTCTAAGTAATTATTATGTAAAAAAGTCTAGTAATACCTAGTAATGTATATGAATCGTATTTATAAATGTTTATTTGTACCATTTCAAATTTATTATTCCAAAAATTTTCAATTTGGACTTATGTGATAATTTGGAAACTGAAATTTTAGTACAAGAGGGTTAACCCTTAATACACGCGATTGATGTTCTGCGTATTTCCCTCTTTGAAATATGGGAACATTTCACTAAATAATGGTCTTTATTTTTTCCTTTCTTTTTTAACACGCATCTTTGTGAATACTTTTTAACGACGTTAAAGTATGTAAGAATTATTTAATAATTTCTGTATACTTATACAAAAGTGACGAAAATCAAGCCGGGTCACGAACAACCCGTCGTATTTAGCAAAGGACCGGAATATCGTCGTGTGTACGAAGGGTTAATTACAGTAACTTTGGCGCACTTTGTAAGAAAACGGAAGTGATATCTCGTTTAAGTTATAGTTCAGCTGTGCAAATGTCTGTTTTAGCCGGGAAACAACATGGCAGGTATCTGTAATTTGGAGCGTTGCGGCAGTTCATTGTGCAGCCGAAACGAACTCGACACAGAAGGTAATTGCCGAGTCGAGACTTGGACTACTCCCTTTCGTATAAGGGTAGCGTTTGGTCCGGGTATCAACATGGACGGCACATTGGAAGACAATGCCGGCATGTGCCTCACGTACCAACAGTTAGCTTGTGTAGCTTGAGCGTTATAATTATCCCGCTCTTCGTAAGGCGCATAAAGCGTAATGCAGAACGCTGGACGACCTATAAATGCGGAGACAACTGTCGAACAGAAGAAGGAAGCGTCATCGACTGCATCTGTACTGTCTGCAACACTGTTTCTGTAGCATTGTCAAGCGACGTCGTTGTCGCTTTCGCAGCGCAAATATAGGAAATATTTTCGAACGGAATAAAGAAAATTTTGCTTGCGGGGATTTTGCTCGTCCGGCTTAGACTAATGGACGTCGAGATTACGGGACGGGAATTATGGGATTGAGGTCGAAGTATTGTGCTGTATAATTAATACCGCAAAAAAGTCAAAGAGTCAAATAGTTTTTATTTACAAATGAACTAGCTTAAATCGTAAACGCAGCGCACAACTCTCGATATAGTGATATATGTATATATGTATATA